TGTTACATATTTTTGTTGTGAGATAAAGATGGCTTCTCTGGAATGAGCTACTTCAATCCCTAGAAAATACTTCAATCTCCCAAGTTCTTTTATTTCGAATTCTYTGACTAGGCATCTTCTCAAGGCTTCCTTCTCCTTTTCATCATTTCATGTCACAATTATGCTGTGTGTTTCCACTCCTATTGTTTCCCTTTATTCTGTATTTCTGTTATTGAGGGAAATGGCTTCCTTTTGGTGTATCTATGACACAAAATTTTCCATCAACAATGATGATAATAACAAAACACATCAGATCAACCTAAAGATTTTTTGTTCATGCAAATTCTGATTATCTACACAAAATCCATAACATAGTTTGCTACTGTTTCTGCTGATGTATAGTAAATAAAGAAAACGAGTTCAACAAATGCATCACCTTAGCAAGCCCCTCCCCTTCATTTTCTGCTAGGGCCTTTGTATTAGCCTTAAAACTTGTTTTGGTAATACTTATTTCATAACCTTCCTTTTCTGCTCTCTCCCTTGCTTGAGGCTGAAAATATAAACATCATTTTAAATTGATAATGGATATTGAAAATAAACACCCTAAAAGAAGCTCATATTTCAACAAATTACCAAAAGCATTGATCAACCATATATCAAGACATGTTACATGCTAAATATAAAATAAAAAAAAAAATTCCTCACCCTAAAAATGAAATTTTCAATATCCAGTTAAGTTTCTCCAATCTAATCAGCCCACTATCCCCTAGTCTCTTATTTGATTCTATTTCTTTTGCTTTAAGTGTAAATCATTATTCCTGCTTTTAAGTTCTTGAATATAGATACAGTGCCTTCACATTTATGGTTACTAACTTGATTTTAGATATTCAAGGACCATAAATTCAAGGCACCATTTCTATATTGTTAATCTATGGTCCTTGAATTTATAGTCCTTGTAGTCCTCACTGCACTTCCTGAATTGTCAAATCCATTGTTAAACCATGGGCCCCCTAAAATCATTTCTCACTACTCCAACTCATGTCCTTTTTGGTTTGCGCCTAGCTCTTCTCACCTCTTCATGCCAACTAGCTTTTTGAAAACCGTCATCAAAATGTAAATCATAGGGAAGACTATATCAAAACTAATTGTCAATTGTATGTCAATCATAAGATTTTTCTAATTTTTTAGAAAAATTTGAAAAATATATATTAAAAACTTAGATATATGGAAAATGATTTTACCCCATTTTCAATCCACGCATTATATTAACCACATAATGACTATTTAGCCAACATATGATGAAAAAGCTAACTTAATAAGACCTTTAAATAGGGTTTGAATGACCCAAATAATTCTTAGTTTGGTAATGGAATTTAAAAGAAAAACCCTTCAAGAAAAAAATATGACATAAGTACAGATAGATCGATGCAAATCACATGAACCAGATGAATCAAAACATTTTTTTTATTGCTAACAGATCAATGAATCTTAATGATTGTGTAAAAGAATAGTGTATTTGCAAGTGCTGAGCACTCCCAGCTTGGTCTGACCATGGCCAGCCACCATACCCTCTCTAATGACTTTTCTCTTTTTTGTTACAACAAATAGTGTTCAAACACCGCAGAAGAAGTTTTCTCTATTTACTTCTTGTTTTGCCATTGCATCTGCAAACCAGTTGGCAGATCAATGAACTCATATTACATTTATGACCATCTCCCTTTTTAGTGTTTTGATCTCCTTCAGCTTGTTCCTGTAATTCCACGGTGTCATATGGCCTTGCACATCATTTTATAGCCAACCCACCACCACTTTAAGAGTCTTCTCCAATCTCCACAGTGAATCATAACATTCACAATTTGAATTATAAGGAAGAAGTCATTGATGGAATAACCATCAAAATTTTACATTGGCTGAAAAAATTAGAGCTTTTCAAGGACTTCTCAGTTGATGACATCTTAAGAGGCTGGACTGTAGTGGGAAATTATCTCAGGATGTTCTAACTCCTACTGTCCAAGGGGTAAAGCTGAACTTTGATGGAAGTTCTTTAGGCAACACAGGCCCTTCTGGAATAGGTGGAGTTCTAAGGGATACAGAGGGCAGACTAATTTCTATGTTCTCTGGGCCAATAGGTGTGGGAGATTCACTGAGAGCGGAAGTGTTGACTCTACTACAAGGATTAAGGCTGGCTAAGCAGATGGGTCTTCATCAAGTTGAGGTAGAAGGGGATTCTAAGCTAGTAATTGGGTGGATTCAGTCACAAAGTTTGGGAGTCTGGGTATATAGACAGTTTGTGAGGGACATAAATTGGCTAGCAAGGGAGATAGGAGCCTCTTTCAAGTGGGTTAGAAGGTTGGCTAATGGGTTAGCTGATATGTTGGCAAAGCAAGGGACTGTTAGAGAGAACTTGTTTTGGGCAGTGTTGTAACTCAAGAGTATACCAATGGGGTCAGCACCTGTAATTAGGTGGGTGTTTTAATTATCTTCAATGAAAGTAACCATTTCCTATAAAAAAAAATATATAAGATTCTTCTTTTTTCCAGAAAAAGTGTTAAGTCATAAGATTCAAATCAAAACCCTTGGGAATCATGAATCTTATAATAAATCAATACGATTTTGACAACTATGAATTACTACTTGTTGCCAAATTTTCTGTTGACCTAACAAACTTAAACACCCAACAATTTCTATTGACAAACGAAAGGATTTTACAGTAATAGCCCCAAATTTGATATCTTTTGTTTGTGAGATACTAGTTGTTCCCAATTCTCCATAACCTGATCTTGTTAAATTTTTAATTGGCAACTATCTGTATTAAATAAAGAATACTAACAAATCCTAGCCCTTGGGGGGTCAATAAACGATCAGTTCATGCCAAATGCAAAGACTCCGGCTAACAAATGTGACATATCCAAGTCAATGGTTCTTCTACAGGAATTGATATTCTACTAGCAATGACATGAATATCCATTTAACCTCTAATCTAAGAATCAGAGAAGGAGACTAAAACTCTGCTCTAATACAATTCCCTTTTCCAAAAGCTCACAAGTGTATCATCATAATGAAGCCATCTCTAATGAATCCAGCTACTTCTGACAGGATGCCATCTCTTTAGGTAATGTTTTATTTAACTACCATAAAGGAATAGAATGGTATAAATAAGTTATTTTGAATAGAGAATTTGTTTTAGAAGTGTGCCAATTTCTTTCTATGACCTGAAAATAACCTAGGAAACAAAATTTCTGACTGGAGCTCATCTTGATGGTTATGGAAACAATATAATAAACTAACAGACACATTATGCTTGGCAAACACCAAGTTACCAACAAATGCATGCATTTTAATTCTACTTTGACACCATGATGTAAACAACAAAACAAATGATTGAGAAAAATTGCCATCAAACTAAACAAAATATATCTATAAAATCCTGGCTAATATGCTCTTTTTGAGGCTTACAGAAGTTCTTCCTTTTATCATCAGCCAAAATCAAGGGGCTTCCATTCAAGGATGACAAAAAATAGATCAGATCCTAATTGCGAATGAATGTGTGAAGGAGATGAAAAGATCTAGGAAAAAAGGCTTTGTTTGCAAATTGGACTTCAAAAAGGTCTATGACTTGGTAGATTGGCAATTCTCACCAGAGGGGTTGAGGAATTGTGGGCTTGGGGAGAGATGGTGTAGATGGATACTTTGGTGTGTTAATATACCTGTCACTACTCTATCTTGGTTAATGGTGTGGTGAAGGATTTCTTTCCAGCATGCAAGGGTATCAGACAAGGGGATCCACTCTCTTCATTCCTCTTTAGTAGCTGATGTGTTTAGTAGAATCATTGCTAAGGCTGACAAGGAAGACATCTTTAGGGTTGGAA